CGGGGGCGGGCCCAGCCTGGACAGTTCTGTGGCTTCCCTGGCCCCGCGTGTCCGTGTCCAGCATTGCTCGAGGCCTGCCCACCTACAGCCCCTCACCTGGCCTCGGGAGCTGCACCAAGGCCTGGGGCTCCGGCTCCTGAAGGCTGCTCTGCTGAGTCACCAGCTACTCCACTTGAGAGACTGATCGACTCCTACTTCCTGTCTGGAATGACCTACATGGGGGAGACGCCTCGTGCCCCTCCCAGAGTGCCTTGTCTTCCCTGATACGTGTCAGGACGTGCTCCCACGGGGCGGGGCGGCCAGTGTGCATGGGGTGCCATCTGCCAAGGGATGGGAGGCCTGAGCCAGGCCGCTCCTCTGCCTGGCTCTGCCCACCCCACGGGCAACCTGTTGATGCCCCACACTTCTTGGGTACCCCCCATTCGTCCTGTGACCCAAAGCCTCTGTGTAACTCTTGACATACGCACATGAACGCATAGACGCCAATCCTTAACCCGATAAAGGCTCTAGACCTAGCCGCCTCGTGTGTTGTCATGGCAGAGGTCAGACGGGGCCAGGGGACAGCTATAGGTGGTGGCAGCCAAGGGCTGGGAGGGTGGGGTGCAGGTGGGCTCCCAGGGCAGGAGGTGGCCCCAGGCCCCCCACACACCCCAACTGCGGGGAAAGGGTGGTGTTGGTGCCCTGCTGGCCGCACCTGTCTGCCCAGAGCTGTAGGCCCTCTAGTAGGTGGTTCTCCAGAGGGGTCTGGGAGGTGTGGGGCTGGGTTTATGTTCTGACCCAAAAAAGGACCTGCTCAGGAAGCAGTGGTTCGGGCACAGCTGCCGCAGGAGCCGCCCCTGGGTACGGGAGCAGAGCAGACACCCAGCTCCGGAGCACACTGCTGGGTGGCTACACAGGTCGGGCCGCTGTTCGCCCCTCGGGGAGGCTGGGAGCTGTTGGCAGCTGCTGCACCAGCACTCTGCCTCTGGTGGGCTGGGCCGGGAGTGAGCACAGAGCCCTCTCCCATGGTCTGTGCAGTCAGCACTCAGCTTCGAGGCCTGTGGCTGGCAGGCAGATGCCCGGCTGGCAGAAGACAAGATGGTGTCGAGCTTGACTGGGGAGTGGGCGGGACGTTCTGGGGAGCAAGAGGCCTGGGGCGGAGGACCAGCCTTCTCAGCCGCCCGCCACCTGCCGGCGCAGCCACTTCCTTTCTGGCTGAAGGGGGGGACCATGCTGCCCAAGTGCTGGCAAGGGGCCTCGCACCGCCAGGCAGCTCCCTGGGCCACCCCTTCCTTCATGGGTGCACCTCCCACTGCCTGAGGCTGTTTGACGGGCACCCTGACCGGTGGTGGCTGTCTGCTGAGACCAAGCATGCTCAACCGAGGCCCAGCCAGCCTCATCTTGCCCTTGGAAGGTCCTT